GCACCGAATTTCAGAAATGTGGCAAATCCCATGTGTTTTTGGACCCTGACCCCGCGGATCTGCGTGAGGGGTGGCACCGAATTTCAGAAATGTGGCAAATCCCCTGTGTTTTTGGACCCTGACCCCGCGGATCTGCGTGAGGGGTGGCACCGAATTTCAGAAATGTGGCAAATCCCATGTGTTTTTGGACCCTGACCCCGCGGATCTGCGTGAGGGGTGGCACCGAATTTCAGAAATGTCGCAAATCCCATGTGTTTTTGGACCCTGACCCCGCGGATCTGCGTGAGGGGTGGCACCGAATTTCAGAAATGTGGCAAATCCCATGTGTTTTTGGACCCTGACCCCGCGGATCTGCGTGAGGGGTGGCACCGAATTTCAGAAATGTGGCAAATCCCATGTGTTTTTGGACCCTGACCCCGCGGATCTGCGTGAGGGGTGTCGATTTCGAGCCCCCCCAGCAATTCAGACAACGCACCCAGGGGACGCTAAAAATCCCGTTTGGGCCTCCCCCCCCCTCGCGCGGTCAATCAACTAGTTACAGTAACCAGCAAGAAGTTAATTAGTTACAGTAACCAGCAAGAACCAGAACTGTAACACTGGAAACTACAAACTACAACTGGTACAGGAAACTGCGAAGCACGCGCCTCGCAGCCTGGTGGCCCCACAAGGGGGCCGGCGGATTAGCCGGTCGTCATTCGGGGGTAGTGACTAGGGTGTAGTGAGTAGGGAGTAGTGGGCAGTGAGAAGGGAGTAGTGAGTAGTGCGTAGGGAGTAGTGAGTGGTGAGTAAGGGGAGGGCGTAAGGATTCGGATTGGGGGTTCGGGTTCTGGGTTAGGGATCGCATTTAGGATTCGGGCTTAGGGTTTGGGGTTCGGGTTCGTGGTTGGGGTTAAGGTTGGAATTCGGTGTTAGGGTAGGGGCGAGGACTAGGAATAGGGGTGGTAGGGATCGGGTTCGGGAGCCAGGGACGGACCGGGAAAGGACGGGGGCGGGAAGGGGGGTCCGCCGGCGACGGACCTGGAAGAGGAGGGGGGGGGGGGCGAGGGGTCCGCCGACGACGGACCGGGGAAAGGAGGGGGGGGTGGGGGCGGTCCCGGACCTCTCCCCCTGGCGGCATCCAGCGGCGCGCCTCTAGGCCTCCTGGATGGGGTCTGAGTAGATGGGGTCGGAGGATCGCGCCGCATCGTCGATGCATCGGCGATGCGGCTCGATGCGGAGCCTGATTTTCTCCACGTTGGCGTCGCCGATGCATCGCCGATGTCGCCGATGCATTGGTGATGCATCGGCGATGTATCACCGATGTATCGGCGATGCGGCGCGATCTTCCGACCCCATCAACTCGGACCCCATCTAGGAGGCCTCTACCGCGCCCTCATGAATTGGGCCATCGAGCACAAAATAGTCTCTTACAGTAAAAACACGATGAAGACGCGGCAGGTCCGCGTCTTCGCATGAGGGGTAATAGATCTGGGCGGTTTGGTCTGATACATTTGCAGGAAGGCCCTCCTACCCAATGTTTTTGGTCCTCCTGGTCGCCTCCCAATAGGTTGGGTTCTTTTTTATTGAATCAGTGGGGGTCGAAGGTGCACCGTGTGTACCTTCAAGGGGGCCAGGAGGGGCGCGAAGGGTACACGCTTCTCCCCTCCACTCATGGATCGCCCCCGCATGATGCGGCGCTCGGCAGCGGCGGCGGCCCCCGACATCTAGCGCTCCGAAAACATCGTAACAGAGGCTTCTTATCGTTTTCGATCTCCAGGGGCCCTCGCAGGGCCTCAGGACCGTCAAACAACTATTCGGGATGGAAACCTTGTCCTGGGGAAGTGGTCGAGAGGTCGGGGATCTGCGTCTTGAATCAATCAACGGCGGCGTCGGCGCTCGACGGCGACGACCCCTCAGGTCTGAGCGTTGCGAGTTTTGCACAGTGGGCGTTTTTGTTTGTCCGGTGTCAGGCCCCAGGACCCTCGCAGATCGATCCGCCTCGAAACATGTAGCGGCAAGATGGGGTCCAGAGCCTGGGCCGTGTTTTTCGCTGGGTCTCGCACCGGGCGATTTCTGCACACCTGGCGTGGTTTCGCCCGGTTTCGGGCCCCAGGACCTTCGCATATCGATCCGGCTCGACAAACGCTGCAGAAAGTCACCACCCACCAAACCGCCCCAACCCAACCCGAAGGCCTCGATCTGCCCTCCATTTCCAGTGGGGGGGGGCCCGAGAACATCGAAAAAACACATATGGAGCCCATACCCCCCCCGACACGAAATTCGGATCTTCGGGTTGGGTTGGGGTGGTCTGGTAGGTAGTCAGAAAGGTGGGGTCAAATAGTCCAGTAGTGATTTCTCGCGGTGTTGCCGTTTCTTCCGCCACGTCGGGGGCCGACGCTCGACGCAAAAAGCGGCCTCTGCCCAAGACCCGGCTCCGGAGTACAGCTCGCAGTGTGCTGCCAGCGCGGCCCTCTGACGGGGCCTCTGAGGCACACGGCTGCGGAGGCGGGGAGGCGCTGCTGCAATCCCGCCCATCCCGCCTGCGCTAAACTGCGTACGGAGCTATCCTGCCAGAAGCTGAATTCAGAGCGATCGCCACATGGTGCTCAAAGACTGGGGGCGGTTCTCGGCGGCGACGACCGGCGGCAGGGATCGACGGCGACAAGCGGCAGCGGCGGTCGGCGATCGGATGACGGATGGGAGACGTTTGTGGAGAGAGGGAGGGGGGCAGGAGAGAGGAGGAGGAGGAGGAGGAGGAGGATGAGGAGGAAGATTGAACACTACTGTTCGCCGCTCAAGTTCGCTCAACTTCAAAAACGGAAAGGACGAGGAGGACGAGGAGGACCAAGGTGAGGAGGACGAGGACGAGGAGGAGGAGGAGGAGGAGGAAGAGCAGGAGGAGGAGGATGACGAGGAGGAGGACGAGGAGGAGGAGGAGGAGAGGAGGAGGACGCGGAGGATGATCAAAAACGTCGCGCCGAAGGTTTTTCCTCGATGTCGGCTCGTGGGGTCCATCTCGGGCCCCGGGTGCTGTCGGAGATCGGTGCGGCATGAACAGCGCCAGGCAGGACGGATCCCGCAGGGGCCTTGGGGGGCGGCGAAACTTGTACGTATCCACTGCTCCCTGGCCAGGCCCATCCTAAACCCAGGAGCTGTATATGAGCCCTCCTGGCCTGGCCAGGAGGGCGCGGCGTATGCACCGCTGCCAGGTTGAGGGATGGGCCTGGCCAGGGAGCAGTGGATCCGTACAGATGCCGCCGCCCCATCCAAGAGGGGGGATGCCTAGGGGGGGGGCGGACATCCTGGCCAGGGCCATGATACCTCCCCAGATGTCCCAGCGCCCCTTCTTGCTTGAATGCGCCCCCGGACCCCCCCGGGGCCGCGCACGTGCCTCGGGCCGCGATTTGCGCCCCCCCCCCCCCCCTCTTGCACGCCACCCGCGCGCAGAGGGGGGGGGAGTTCTTCTTAGAACGCCTGCCTTGTCTGTAGATGTAGGGCCGGCGCCTTCTGAGAAGCAGCCTCCTTGTAAGAAGCCTTCCCCCCCTTCCCCTACCCCCCTCTGCGCGCCGCAGATTTTGATCGGAGGACAAAAACAAGTACATGAACACAGACTTTTGGAGCTCCGCGCGCATTTTTGATGATCGGCGCTGGCCCCCCCTGGCCGCCTCCAGCGCCGCCCCTGGCTCGCTCTGCGCGCCAGGGAGGGGGTTCCAGCGTCAATCGAATGACTCCGCGCGAAGCTCCAACAGTTCCTGTTCATGTAAGTTGTTAGCCCTGTATTTGAGGCTCCAGGGTTTAGAGTCGAGGATTCGCAGAAGCGAGTAGGGATCAGCCAGGCTGGCGACGACGTGGTTGTCTCTAGAGGTCCCTGGAAACCTCCAGAGGCCTCCACTCCATGCCATACGAGGTGAAGCATAACGGAGATGCCAATCCTCCATTCTAAAGACAGGCGACGACCGCGGCGACCACGGCGGCGACAGCGACGACGTGCCGATCTTTGGAGGTCCTGAAGTTCTTCGGAGGCCCTTATATTCGGGAATCCGTATAGGGGGGGTATCCCAGGGCGGGATGAAGGAACGAACCCAGCTGGCTTCAAGCTCGATCGTCGAGCCGACAACGACGAGGACAAGGACGGCTGCCACAGGGCGACGACAGCGAGGAAGGTGCAGTGCGCAGGGAGGAGGTGCGAAGAGCTTGGAGGAGGATTCGCTCCAATGCATAGGGAGGCGCTTGGGGATCGCTCCTCCCCCCTCTCCCCCTTCCTCTTCCCCTCCCTTTCCTCCTCTTCTTGGCTCCCCTTTCCTCCTCCTCCTCCTCCTCCTTCTCCTCCTCCCCTCTCCTCCTCCTCCTCCTCCTTCTCTTCCTCCTCCGCCTCCTCCTCCTCCTCCTCTTCCTCCTCTTCCCTCGAACCGTTTCGGCTCAGATGCTTTCTGAGCTTGCAACAGCATGCCTCTTCGAAACGGCCAAGTGCTGTTGCGGGCCATTGGCTCTTTCAACTTGCTTTGCTGAGCCTTTCCTCTTGTGTGAGCTCCTGCTGGAGCAACGTCCGAGCTGCGCCAAGGCCTTCTACGAGGAGGCGTATGGCCCAGCGCCAAGATGAACCTGACGTCCTTCCTGGGCCACGTGAGCCCAAGTGGGGTTGCCCCACCTGTGGGCGCAATCGGAACTACGCTTCCCGTATCCGATGTTTGTGCGGCAAGCTGGCCCCGACCTCGATCATCACCATGGCAGGGCGTGCTGCCCAAGAGGCTGTACAAGGTGGTGGTGGCGGTGCTGCTCCTCCTCGTGGCCACCGCGGGGCGTGGGCCAACGGACCCCCGAAGAATGCCGCCAACCTCACTGCCCAGCTTGCCACCCTTGGGAAGCGCATGCTCGAGCAGTGCAAGTAGATGTTCAAGTCGGCGGCCCCCACAGGTGCCCATTGCGATGGCGGAGGCGGCAAAGACAAACCGACTGATGATGAGGATGATGAGAACAAGAAGCTCCGAGATCGCATCCAGCACTTCGAGGAGTCCCTCCAGGCGGTCAAGAAGCGCGGCGGCTCTATCTCGGCCTCCGTCCAGATTGGCACCCAGGCCGGGTTGGACGCTGCACGCAAGATTGTCAATGACAAGAAGCTTATGCTCTCTCGGCACACTGCAGTCGGGCACAAGCTGGCTAGGTGCAAGATGCAGTACGAGAAGGGCCAAATCAAGATTGAGGATCAGACCAAGGCGGTGTCAAAGACTTGCAGGACAAGCGAAGGGCCAAGCAGGTGGAAATTGACGCGCTGCAGATCGAGCTCCCGGCCACGATGCGGGCCGTGGCGCCTGAGCCTGCGGTCGACACCGAGGTTTTCGACTTGCCCTCGGAGCTGCTCGAGCAGGGCGACGCCGCCGAGTTCAAGGCCATGGTGGAGAGCCCTGCCAGAAGTACAAGGAGCTTGCCGAGTCTCAGCTGCAGAAGCAGGCTGGGGCGCCCCAGTCTCCACCTCCTCAGGCTCCAGGACAGGCCCCAGGCCCCGTCGCTCCTAGCGATGGGGAAGGGGTGCGCGCAGGAGACGATGACGTTGATATGGAGGAACTGGGAGAGGATACGGTTACCTTCCCGTTGGCGGTTGCTAGAAAGGAAGGAGGCAACCGCGCCCAGTCTTCTCAGGAGCTCCTCAATTCCATAGGCATTCGGGCTAAGAAAGCGCGTTTTGGGTGATGCAGTTTCCGGACTACCTGCTCCCAATGTATCGGGTGTATTTTTATAATCCGAAGGTCTCCCAGTTCCGCCTTTGAGGGGCGGGCCCAGTGCACGCGCGGCGAGCGACGTTTACAATCTTGAGTCTTTCAATGGGTCATGTTGGACCACTCTTCGCCGACGACCCAAGGATTCGGATGCCGCGATATGGCGTTCGCAGCAGATTGGTATTCCGGAACTTTTGCTGGTCAGGCCTCGGCGGCAGCGCGCGGGCTAGGCTGGCGCTGCCTGATCGCGCCATCCTTCCTCAACCCAGAGACTAACAAGTTGTCTAGCGGGGTGGCGGTGTTTGCTCGTCTTGCCATCGGCCTTCGCTGGCCACCCGAAGGAGATGCCCCGACGGTGCCTCGCAAGGTCCTCAAGGTGCTCGTCGACCTCCCAGGTTGGCTCGCGATGACACTTTTGAATTACATACAAGAATTTGTACCTGCGCGCCGCCGAAGGCCTAAGCGAGGCCCCCATTGGGGCCCCCAGGGGCGTCGGGAAGGCCGTACTTGATCCAGCTCATACTTTGATTTCTGGCGACTGGAATCTCTCCCCGCATGTTGTCGAAGACCCGGGGGTCGCACGGAAGCTCGGCGTGGTTATCATGAGCCCGCTGGCTTATATTTGCCGTGCGCCTACTAGGAATAGCATCGTTGACTTCCACATGCTCTGGCCTGGATTGGCCAGATTTATCAACGGGGTGTCCGTGGGCATGACGTGGGAAGTTAAGCCTCGCAGGCCTGTGGTCCTAGAAGTTCGTTCAGGTTCTCTCCTTCTCCGCCAGCTTGTAGATCGTTATCATCAGCGAATGCCAGTCGATGTTCCTTTCGGCCCTGTTCCACATCCTGCTGTGTGGGACGGTGCTCGTGCTTGCGCTGCGCAAGCAGTTGGACGTGCAGTCCGCGACGCGGCCAGAGCTGCCTGGCAAATTCTCAACCAGGTTTGGGCCCACTTTATCGATGTTGCTGAAGTTGAGCTATGTCGACATCTGGGGGCCGAGTTGAAGGGGCGCGGGAAGCGTTGCAGGACTATCCGATCTTCTTGGGCGTCGGTCTTCTACAGGCCAAACAAACAACGTCAGCGACGAGGGCCAGGTTTCGACAGGCTGGACGTGGCTGCACCAGATTTCAACGCGTCTCTGCTGTCCGCCCAGGACCCCTCGGCCAGGGCCTTTGTTTTGGCGCGGTCTCGTGGCCCTGTCCACCGCGTGCTCCTCTCCCTCCGCCGCGTTGGCTGGCGCGCGGATAACCTTGCGTCGCGGAGAGATTACCGCGACTTCGCGATCGACATCCTCTACGCCCCCCCTGCTATGGTGGCGCAGCTTTTAGGGGCAGGGGCCCGGCGATCCCTCGAGCGCCGTTCCGCGCATAATCTACCGCGGTTCAGTTCCGAACGGGTCTGCGCCGACCCAATTCGTCAGCTCTACAGGTCCAAGAAGACCAACCCTCGGCAAACGCACTGGCTTGCTGCTTGTTTCTAGAGCCTGCCGGACAGGGGATCGGCTTGTCGAGTCGGGGCACTTGCACGGGGGGGGGGCGTCCGCTTTGTGGAGGGCCCGATTCCCTGGTCCACGGGCGGCGGCTTTGCGAGGTCATCGATGTCCGCCAGCTTTCGCAGTAAGCCAGATGAGGACCCCCTCTGGTCTCGTCTGATCGCCGCCCAGCCACCAGATCTCCCCGCCCCCTCCCGGGACCTCGACCATGTCTTCCAAGATGCTGACGGCGGGGCGATAGATTGAGATCGATTCCTTGAGCTGACCCGAGGCTGCGACGTCGTCGCCGACGGCTCCGCGACCCAGCTCACCTTAACAGTGCAGCCCGGCGGCGTGCGTTGCCGTTTTCATGGCCCCTGGGGGCGAATATCAAATCCGCGCTCGAATCCCCGGGACTGTCCGGCCGATTGCGTTTCAAACTCTTCAGGCTGCTTGGCCCCTCGGGCTCGCCGCTTCGAGCGCGGCCTGCCTTATAGCGACTGCCTGGGGCAGGTCCGTCTACAGAACAATAGTCTGAGGGAACAATTGCGCCCTGAGCATGCTTTTGCGGGTTTGAGGCGCATGGTCAATGAGCGTGATCCTGATGAGTTTCTAGGTTAGGCGCAGCGCGCTCAGGCCCACCGCAACGACATGGTTATGCGGGCTTTGCCAGTTTTGGAGCGTCGCACTGCGCGGGGCAATCAAGATGCTGACAGGCTCCCCAAACATGCCCTCGCAATGCATCCAGGGATACCGGTGGATACTCTCGAGGCCCTGGAGAAGATCGTTTCCCGTGCCAAGTCCACTCATAATGTTTTCCGCTGTTCTCTCCTTCTATCTCAAACTCGAGTTCCGCCGTGCGCCTAGAGGACTCCGACCCCGGATGGTCAGAGATCCGAGTTGGCACTGCTGGCTTGAGGTCAAACTTGGGGTGGCTTGGAGATGCAGCAGTTGTTTCACCGTTGTGCATGGGGCCGACCGTCCGATGATGGGTTGCAAAGGCGTCCCCACGGCCATTCAGAAGCTTCGCGGGGCGGAGCTGCGCGGTCTATGCTTGGCGCCTCCATGATACAGGGCGCACAGTGCCTGCCTCTTGTTTTTTGTCTTCGACGTGGGGCGTACTCCAGTCAACGGCGCGCGCGCCTCGCAGGTGTTTGTCCTCCCCAGATTTCCAAGAGCGGAGAGCAGACATTGTGCCGAATTCGTCGTGGTCTTCATCCCCGCTACTCGAGTGGGGTGTCGGTCGGCTCCACCTGTCGTCCGTCCGCCACAATCTTGCTCGAGGCTGCGTTGACGTCGACGTCGACGGCGACCTCCTCGATAATCAAGCTTATCCTGACCTCGGGGATGTTGGCGCTCACCAGGCGCATCGATGCACGGGGGCAAGTGGCCAAAGCGTCCTCTTGCTGATGCTGCTCTTGTGTGTTTTTGTATTATTAGTTTCTTTCAGTTATGTTCTGCCTCGGGGCCTTCGAGGAAAATCCTCTTCCCTCGTCTCTCCTCACTCCTCCCTGCTCTCTTCCTCTTCCTCCTCTTCCTACTCCTCCTCCTCATCCTCCTCATCCTCTCCTCCCTCCTCCTCCCGTGAGGGGTCGGAGGCCACCCGGCTGCGTTGGAGAACGGCGGCGGAAGGGGCGACCGGTGGAAGGTGTTGCACAGTCGGACCGAAGTATAAGATCGAGGTCGTTTCGGGGAGGATGCCGTCAATTCTTCGTGCTGGTCGAACGTTTATGTGCGCACGGGGGAGGGTACCCTTGGATGTTTTGTGCGCTGTGGCTGGCGGGGGGTCTCGAAGGATGATCTCCTGGCCTAGGTCCGACTGTGCGTGTCCATGCTTTCAGAAGGTCCCCGCGCTGGTACTGATAGCCTGGACGTGTGTTCCTGATCTTCAACCGTCATTCTCGCACTGATGCCCGAAGCGCTTGTTTCCAAGTCCGCGCCGCGGGCTGTCCGATGTTAAGGATGTTTCCCCCGAGGTGCTTGCTGTCAGGGGTTATCCTTTTTGTTTTGCGGAACCTGGCCTGCGGGCCGGTCTGGCGGTTCCGTGCTCGCCGTCGCCGCCCCGCCCCTCCCCGTGTCCCCGCCCCGTCGTCCCCCGTCGTCTGGGCCTTCGGGCCGGTCTGGTTGCTCCGTGGTCGCCCTCGCCGCCTCGTCGCCGCCCCATCGCAGCCTCGCACAGATTGCATCGCATGAATTTTCCTCTGAACGAGTATTGGAATCGACCCCCCCCCCGGGATTTAACCGCCCCCCTTTTTCGTTCTGCAGGTTACATGCGATCTTGCCCCATCGTCCATCGTAAATATTAGCTCGTTCCATCCCAGCCAGGCCAGTATCGATTCCCCTTTGTTTACCGCCTCAAAGAAAACACCATGCGCGCACATTCGTTTAACAAAAATCAGCAGTTTTCAAACATTATTTTTGCAACGAGTGGGACGAAGTGCTCACGTGCGCGTCGTCGCGCTCGTGTGCCGACCGGAATCGCCAAACCAACTTAGGATGTCGTAAAGACTTCAAAATGGAGTGTCATGCAAACATATCAAACACATGGCATCGCAGCAAGAATTTTCCAAACAAATCCTGCGCTCGCGCTCTTGCAGATTCCAAGGGAACTTGGGCTTCGTCAGGATTTCCATGATATGCCACTTTCGCGCCCGCATGTCGACATCGTTCGAACACCTTTGCGCGCGTGTTGTCGCAAGGATTTGTTTTGCAAAAAGTGGACGATGTTCACTCGCGCGCGTCGTCGCGCGCACGTGCCAGAATTTTGCAATAACTTACAGGTTCCGTAAGGATTGCCAAAACGAGTATCCCGAACACATGTGTGTGTAAGTATGTATGTATGTATGTATGTATGTATGTATGTATGTATGTATGTATGTATGTATGTACGTATGTATGTATGTATGTATGTATGTATGTATGTATGTGTACATATATACATATATATTCAGGGAGTTCAAAACCAACTAGGTCGTCATGCCCGGGCTCAGCCTCGCGGACCTACTCTAAAACCAACGGTTAAACACCATTGTTTTGTTTCATGCCGTGTCGTTATCGCGCGAGTGGTACTCGAATACATAGTTTTTAAACTGACCACGGTGATCTTCCCCCAGATATTCCTCCGAGTTGTCTTCCATACCATCACCCAGATCTTCCCCCAAATGTTCCCCTTGGTCTTCCCGCAGATCTTCACCTAGATCTTCCCTTCAGATATTCCTCAGATTTTCC